GTGGGGATAGCGTGTGTGATGCTCCCCATCCTCCCCCCTCCCCAGGTCCCCGTCCCCAGCGTCCCCCCTGCCGTTAGTCCTGCTGCTCGTTCATCTCCATGTCCGACACCAGGATGTTCTTCTCGGCCGATTCGCTGGGGTTGGAGGTGGTGCGGCTGTAGCGGGCGCTCTCGAAGGCGCCTCGCTCCGCGCTCCGCCGACGCTTGTACAGGTAGACAGCGACGGCCAGCACGGCGCACAGCGCCAGCGTCGACAGCACCACCACCGCGATGGCCGTCGTGTTCTCCGGCAGATCTGCAGGGAGGGGAGATGGCTGGTGGAAGGCAGCCTGCCCGTCTCCCACCGTCTTGTCCCGCAAGAGGGGCTTTGGCTGGTGGGTCTCCAGCCGGACGGGCAAGGATGGGTCACAGCGGGACGGGACTGGGATCTGCTTTGGTGTTTTGGGGACAGAGCTCCCAGGGTTGGGCAACCTCTCCGGGTTGCTCCTGATGTGCATGAACATCTGGCAGCTGCCTGGGATGGATCTTTGCGATCCCACCAGCAGATGTGGCATCTGTCCCCCAGCCTGGCCAGGTAGCACGGGCGAGGGCAGCAGAGCCCGGCAAGGGGCTGGCTGGACACCCTCCTCCACAGAGGGATGGCTCCTGCTGCTGGGGAGTCCTAACCCAGGGCCAAAGCCACCTGGAAATGGGATTTCCCACCCAAAACCACCATTTCTCTGGTTATTAATAGAAGCTGGGCTGCAGCACAGCCCCCCCAGCACTGGTTCCTGGTTCCAGTGCTGTGCCCAGGCCCACGGTGCCACTCACCTGCCCTGGAAAAGCTGCTCTCCTCCACTGCAACGGCAACACAGACAGATGAGTGCACGGCCACGGCACCCTCCCCTCCTGCCCATGCAGACGCCGGGCCGTGCAGAGCCATGGGGTCCCCCAGCTCTGCTCCACCACCCCTCCACTGGTCTCATCCTGACCTGGCCACCGAGATGGGCACAGCCCACCACGGAGCCCAGTGGGGACCTGCAGACACCAGCACCAGCCCCACAACCCCCCTGGACTGGAACTACCCAACACACGGAGCCGGTGCTGCCAGCGGGACAGAGCTGTGCCCTGCAGCACCCTGCCCGGACCCCCAGCTCACCCCACATCAGCCCCAGTGCCTCGGGGAGCTGCGGGGCCCCTACCTCGGGGGATCTTGCAGATGACCCCCATGGTGATGTTGGTGCAGGAGCCCAGGCGCCAGACGCCGTTGCTGCTCTGGATCCAGTAGCAGCTGTTCTGGCTGAGCATGCTGGGCCCCGTGTCGTGCTGGCCCCAGTTGGAGTAGTTCACGGCGGTGTTGTCATGCCAAACCAAGGTGCCACCTGGGAAATGCAAAAATTAGGTCTGGGTTGGCTGAAGGGGACGCCCCAACTTTGCGCCAGTTCAGAAAGCACAGGGAGATGTGATGGGGCGACGGGGAGGTGTGATGGGGCGATGGGGAGGACTAGGGGCTGCAGGGCACCTTCCTGAACCTGCAGGCTCCAGCGCCTTGGAGGAGGCTCTGGGCTTCAAAGCCACCACTGTCATGTCACCAAGCCAGAGGAGGACTCACACGGCACATCCAGCATGGCCTGAGACAATGGGGCTCCCGGCCACCCCTGACATGAGACCCCCCCCCACTGGTGCCACCACCTAGGGCTTCCTCTGCTCACTGCAGACCTGGTGGGAATCCATGGTGTTGCCTAAGGGGGATAAAACCTTGTTCCTTCCTTTGTACCTTTGGGGTTGAAGGTCATGCCCAGCCAGGCGCCCTTGGACGGGCCCTCGTATGCCTGGAGATGCTCCCACACGAAGACGTTCTCCATCTCGTCCTGGATGGACAACACCGTGCCACCGACTGCGGAGGAAAGAGTCAAGGAAGAGCTCAGAGCTCGGAGGATGGAGCTCGACAGCAGCAGTGTCCAGGAGGACAAAGCTGAGGAACCACCCATGAACCTCATGGCAGTTGAGGAACCCTAACATCTAACAGCAAGGAGATGATGGCTGACCAAGGCTGGATGTGGGTGCAGGGACAGGGGTCCCATTCATGGGTGCTCTGCTGCACCCATGGGCATCCTGGAGACCCCACCCTCTCCATTTCCAACAGTGGGTCACCCTCCTCCACCACCACAGCCCCCCCATACCTTTCTGGCACCTCCTCATGGCATCCTTCTGCCCCAGGGTGATCTCCATGTGGAAGGTGTAGCAGTGGTCCCGGAAGGGGATCCAGGACGAGTCCTCCAGCGATTTGGGACAGCTGCCGCTGTAGCTCCACTTGTGCGTGCGGGGGGCACCTGGGAAGCACATGGTGCGTTGGGAGATGGGGGAGGCACAGGGTGCTGGGGTCCCACAGCACGCTGGGGCACCCAGCCCCGCAAGGACACGCACAGAGCTCCAGAAGGTCCCTGGTGGGATGCCATCTCCAACCCTTGGGTGCTCCCCACCCTGAGCCCCCGTGCCCGCCCCGGGCAGCACCTGCTCGGAGCTGGCAGATGCCCCCCTGCAGCTTGGTGTCGCAGCCGGCCGTGCGCCAGCTCCCGTCCGTGTCCATGTAG